CTCTGATCAATCTAAGGTTTTGTGCAATCTCGCCGACTGTCTTCAGTAGTTACTGTCTACAGACGATAAGGTTGAACTCCACTGGTCACATCTTACTAGAACTCTGAGCACATTTTTTGATTTCACATCATAGTATTATAGAGATAATTGTTTTTACTACATATTGAAGTCATGAACTTCTGAGGGTAGCATGAGTCGTGGATGCGCATTGCCACTGATGAGTAGTCACATATCAGGACGAAAAAGCCGTTTTCCAGGTCCCTTTTCTAATGGTGGTCTAGTAATGATTCATACATGGTTGTAATGTGTAATTTCATTAGTTATAACAGAAACTGTACCTAACCAAGTCAAATTTCTTAACATATTAAAGGTGTTGAGTTAAAACATTTCAGTGTGAAAGTTAGGTGTAAAGCTAGGGAGATGTAAGTCTCATTGGTAGGCAGTGACCAACACATTAGATTCGTACGCCATTCATTCCATCAAGATCCTGGAGCCCATGTGCACTATTGGTTGGGAATGACAGTTTTCCAACTCCCTCTCAGTTGGATCCTCTATACCAACTAACCTTGCTTATTACATATCTAACTGATTTTTGTCTGCTTTTAGATAGTTAGTCATACCTCATTGCAGTGAGTTGACGCACTCAATCTGCACGTAATTCGCTTCACTTCATACCGTTCCGCTGTTATGCTATGCATTATTATGTCTGTCTGTTTACAGTCAGTCAGTCAGTTACAACGTAGAACTTCGTATATACGTACGTACGTACATCAGTTCAAATTGTCACACTATAATATTAGCATAGAGATGCAGTTATCAATTCAAATCCAATAGTAGTAGAGATAGTAGAAGTATTAGCAGTAATCGAAGAGATTAGGGTTTGACGACATTCTTCAAGAAGTAAAATCTAGAAAAAATAAACTTAAAAAAAAAACATAAAGGTGATGACGAATTCAGAAAGTTAGGATTAGAAAGAACACAAAGAGTGGATGCGTCTGCGCTAACCGTCGATTACTTTCACCTCGCAGGCCCCAAACCAAGTAGTCGATACCTACCAACATGACTCAGTCCATTTGTCAGTGACTTCATGGATATGTGCCATGTTTTGCTTTGGTCGGCCTCAAAATTTCTCCCAACCTATTCCTACACTGCAAAACACAGCTCTGTCTGTTTACACGAGTAGATGAAATAAATTCATTTAATCAAAATCATATCGAGCTTTCAATGAAAAATCATCACACAAACCGGGATGTTTGAATTGGACGCTGCTAGGACTGAATAGCTATACGTAGCAGCATTATAACAAACCAATGCTTAGAGACCTTGAATGAAATAGCTGAAAATCCTTTGTGATGGAGTAGGTGCGCTCATTCTTTGATTTCCTCATGACTTTCATCTTTTTCATCTCGAATTTATTTCACTGAATTATAGCGTGATCTTTCCGAGTATTGTTCATACTTATACTACCTCTACAACTATGCAAATACGTACAAAGTTCAACGTTGTTGATTGGTAGAAATGATTGTCAAGTTTTGTAATTGTTTCTTGAAAAATAAAAACGGATGGATAATTGTTCTAAACGGAACAAACATTGTGCAAGATGTAACTTTGTGAATTATCTTACGATAAATGATTGTCTAATGTGTCTACACTACATCGATCATAGAGCATGCTTAATCATTGTTAGTCACAAAAGTGTTATTAGTCAAACCACACGACATTAAGCTATGGTTAGGATATTGATCCAATATCCTAAAAGAATTGTTGGTCAATTCTTATTGGCTAATTCCTACTGGTCATTTTTATGGTCGTTCTAGATATCAGTGTCACGTGCTCCAATGTCGTTCCTTATTGGTTGGCCTGACTATCAATGTTACTTCCTATTGGTCGTCTTAACTGTCAATGTCACAGAATTCGACGCTGTTTCCTATTCGACCAAAATATACAAATACGCATTATCTGTAACGTGTTATGACTCGGATCCCTAGTCAGGGATCCTGATTCTCTTCTGGATCCGGACCTCGTACTTTCTGGATGCTTGTAGAATACAGGTTCTACTTCAGATCACGTTTTCTTATTCTTATTTACTCAATATGGAGGGTTGGGATAATCAGATTTGAGTATCATGTCGTGTCGCCGGCTCGTCGATCCTCGCTCTCGTTTTCCGACTAGGTGGTAAACTCGTCATAGTTCAAGTATATCAAGTTGACGTGTTTACGTGCAGGCTTAACAAAATCATATTCTGGGTCATTAAAAATCACACTATGAATGTTCTACAGTTAAAACTACAACCTAGTACTTCTTTTCTCTTCAATATCAATAAGCTTCTGCACTGAACTAGTGAGTTCAAACAAACCATCAACTTGTTCAATAAACTCAAAAGTGTTAGTTAGTATTTAAATTCCAAATATTACTAAAAACAGCTTTTAATTAAATGTTCAATCAAAAAATAATTCTCTTAAAGTGGTTGGATGGATTGATACATAACAAACAATAGACATTAATTAATTAATTAATTACTCCATTCAACAATTTCAGAGTGGCGTGATAATACAAATAAAGACTTTATTAAATAAAACATTAATACAATGTTTACTTATGTTGCCCTTAAACATAGAATCTAGTTAAGCTATAAGTAAGCTAGGAGCAGACTACAAGACAACTGAAACCAGTGGTTCATCATCATTATCAACAACAACAGCAACGTAGAACTTCGTACGTACATACGTACATCAGTTCAAGTTGCTATGCCACATTAGCACAGAGATGCAACTGTCAATTCAAATCTCATAGTAGTAGAGGTTGTAGAAGTATTAGAAGTAATCGGAGAGATTAGAGTTCGAAGATGATATTCAAGAAGTATAATATAGTGAGGTAAATTTAGAAAGAGAAAGATAGAGGTGATGAGGAATTCAGGAGGTTAGTACTTGGGAGAACACAAAGAATGGATGCACCTGCGCCATTACAAACGGTTTTGAGTCATGTCATTCAAGGTCTCTAACCATCGATTAATATTATCTCGTGGACCTCAACCAGGTAGTTGACTCAATACAGATGTCAGTGATTGCATGGATTTCTGCCATGTTTTGGTCTGGCCGCCCCTAGCTTTCTCTCAACCTATTCCTACACCGCAAAACATAGCTCGACGAAGTGGTTAAAAGACTGTGAGCGACAAGAATGGAAAACGATTGCAATAGCGCAGATGCATTTATTCTTCGTTTGCTCCCAAATTCTAATTCTTCAGATTCCTCATGACCTTTTTTTTAAATCATCGGAAGTGGATAGGACACACATTGAGGAAAGTGCCCAACTGTGTCACAACATAGGCCCTCAATTGAAATCCTCAAAGCCAAAGGAAAGCAGCAACACCAAAGAAGACATTGAGCCGAGAAATTAGGAGGGACATGAGAAAAATGAACACCAATTGAAGAGAATGAGAAAGGAAGGCCCAGGACAGAGCAGGTTGAAGAAAGCTGGTCGGTGGCATATGCTCTATTACGCATAACAGACGTAAGTAAGCACTTCTCGAGTCCTAGATTCGATCCCTAAACTCGTTCATTAACACTCATACTGCTACAACCTCCAACACTATAGGATTTGAATTGAAGATTCCACATTATCATGCTAATGTGGTTGGGCAACTTGAACTGATAAGGGGTGTAGGAAGGATTTGATTTTGACCGATTCGATCTCGAGTGCTGTTACGGGTATGAGGGCGGATGTCACTTCCCGGCTGCCCACACAATGGAAGGGAGTTTCTTGAGGAACCGAAAAAGGAAGGTGGATTAGAGTTGGTCTTAACGACAAGGGAGCGTGACAGTAGAGTCCAAGGGACAACTGCTTGAGGCCGGTAACTCACGGCCTTTTTATTAAAGGCTTTTCGAGCATTAGCTCCGATCTTAAAAACCCTTAGTCGGCACCCTTACCGACGGAGACGGAAATCCGTGAGGTAGGGGAGGTGTGACATTTTCAGCGTCGATGCAGCATCGGTGCAGATGCTGATTGTCCGAAGGAAACACCTTACTGCTGTCACACCCCTCCACCACAGTCAGCAGTACGACTTCGCCTTCAGACCTTGGGTAGCAGCTTTTAGTCTCATCTTTCTCCAATCGACCTGCCTGCCACGGTAGAACCTTCAGGAACATATGTTCCAGCCAGTATAGCTCGGTTGCGTCATCACGATAGGCAAGCCCGACCACCACGTCAAGTTAGTAGCTAAAGGTCGAGCTGCCGTTAGGAAACGAGTACTAGGTAGGGATGGCAGATCAATAGATGAAGTAATGAAACTTCATCAGTTCAGGTGGTTGGGACGTGTGTTACGTATGCCGAACCACCGACTGCCTCGACAGGCTATGTTTTGTGGTGTAGGAGTAGGTTGTAAGAAAGTTAGGGGTGGCCAAACCAGAACATGACAGCAAACCATGAAATCACTGACAAGTGGACTGAGTCATGTTGGTAGATGTTGACTACCTGGTTGGGGTCCGCGAGACGAAAGTCACCAATGGTTAGAGACCTTGAATACAATTGCTCAAAATCGTTTGCAATGGCGCAAGTACATCCATTCATTGTACTCTCTCAAATCCTAATCTTCTGGATTCGTCAGCACCTCTACCTTTGTCTTCTTAACCTTATCTCACTAAATCATACTTCTTGAATAATATCTTCAAACCACCCTAGTCTTCTTCATTACCATTAAATCCTCTACCATCTCTATCACTATGAGATTTGATTTGACATTTACGTCTTTGTGCTAATGTGGTGTGGCAACCTGAACTGATGTACATACGTACGAAGTTCTACGTTGCAACTAACTGACTGACTTGAACTGATGTACGTGCACGTGTACCAAGTCCCACGTTGCTACTGCTGAGACTAACTAATTGTCAGCGAATTGAAAACTACACAAATATAGAATGAGAAACAAACAGAGAAATCGATCGCCCTTTCCATGAAACAAATAATTTCAACAACAATAAGTAGTATGTATATATATGCATTACCTTTTTCTGTAACCATTTCTCCCAATCATGTATATATGCTTCAAGAATTGGAACATTTTCACAATCACTTCTTACCGCTGATTCAGTAGGCTAAAAATAGAATTATTATTAAACATTGTTTCATTATACGACGTGTTAATTACATACAAATAATGGACTTAGCCATGTCGGTAGTTGTCGACTATCACCTGGTTGGGGTCCGCGAGATGATAATAATCGATGGTTAGAGACCTTGAATGATATGGCTCAAAATTGTTCGCAATGGCGCCGGTGCGTTTATTCTTGGTGTTCTCTCAAATCCTAATCTTCTGGGTTCTTCAACACCTCTAGTTTTGACTTTTTAAACTTATCTCACTGAATCATACTTGTTGAATAATATCTTCTAATCCTAACCGCTCCGATTACTTCTAATACCTTTACTACCTCTACTACTCTATTGAATTTGAATTGACAATTATATCTCTGTGCTGATGTGGTATGGCGACATGAACTGATGTACTTACGTACGAAGTTCTACGTTGCAACTGACTGACTGACATATAAATAATAATAATAAGATACATTTAAAACAAAGTCTCCAACCAAGTCTTTCGACCCTGGGGTAATTATTTGTTTTTTTATATCCAAGTGTGTTGTGTTATTTGTATGCTTACTTTGCTTATCACATGTCTATAGTGTATTAACGATTGAGACTATAAAAATACTTAGTCATGCTTCACATTGTATTGATTTGGCTCACTCGTTGGCCTTCTCTACTTCACTTCGTTTTGCTTTCTTACGACGCTTTGTATTCTCTCATGTCTGTCTGCAATGAGTTCATTTACAAAACTATATTTGGCTTCTCTTAACTAACGCCATCGCACAAAACGAGAATTCGCAAAAAAATCAAAGGGGAGTTTTATTTCATAGCCTAATGTAACGTTCGTACAAATCGGAATTAGAGCACAGGTTAGCAAAGTGGTGAGCATTAACTTGGAATTCAATGCGGCACTGTAGTGAATGAGAACACAGGTGGGGCAACCGAATTGTATTTAACGGAAATTACAGAGTTACTCAGTAAAATAGGAAAACCATATCGTAAATCGTTCATTTGCAAAAGATCAGTTCTTCCTATGGAACTGGACTGTTCCTGTTGCCAAACATCAATCCATTGTCACTATTCATGCGTTTCATACAAATTCCATTGTTTTCTAACTCTTCCTTTCTTGATCTTCCCCTCATATTATGCTACCAGACTTTACGTTGACACTCACGTTATATACTACTTATAAGTAGTTCGCACCACAGCACCACAACCCAATAAAGTTCCATAAACGTTTATCGAACAATTGTTAGGATATTCATCCAATATTTTAAGAGAATTATTGGTCAAACCCTATTGGTCGAAATTATGGTCGTTTTAACTGTCAAAGTCGAATACTTCAATGTTGTTTCTTATTGGTCATTCGGACTGTCAATGTCACTTCAAATGTTACTTCCTATTGGTCGTCTTAACTGTCAGTGTCACAGACTTCGATGCTGTTTCTTATTCGACCAAAATGTATAAATACGCATTATGTGTAACGTTTTATGACCAGGACACGGTCCCGGATCCCTAGTTCGGGATCTTGATTCTCTTCTCGACTCGGACCTCGTACTTTCTGAATGCTTGTAGAATACAGGTTCTACTTCATATCACGTCTTCTTATTTTTACTAAATATGGTGGTTGGGATAATCGGATTTGAGTAGCATGTCGTGTCACCGGATCCTCGCTCTCGTTTTCCGACTAGGTAAACTCGTAATAGTTCAAGTATATCAAGTTGACGTGTTTTTGTGTAGGCATAACAAGCATAAAGTTTGTACAATATTCAATAGATCAAAATCAACTTACTTTAGTACACTCGGGAAATGATAATAGAATTAAATGATTGATAAAATCCTTTAAATTTTATTCATCACAACCGCCCCAATTGAATTGGAAATTTTAAAACAACAGACGAGGTAGGGAGAAAGTATGAGGGGAAAAAATGAAATGAAGTAAATTATTGTTAACCATGAAATACTAATCTTTACAACTCTATAATGACAATTATCATATGCTCACACTAGTAACTAGCTTGGTGAAGAAATTCTCACAGTTCTACTAAGAAGCTGTGACCAGTAGAGTTTAAACAAGTCGGTTGTGAGGCAATCTACTCATCAAAGACAATGGATGATGGTCATGCAATATTGTGGATTGATTGAAAATAGACGCCGAAATTGTTGGATGTTGGTGGCGTTCCAGGGATGAGGCGTTCGCGCACGAGACTCAAGGACCTGGGTTCGATTCCCGTGTGAAGAGATCGTGAATGCGTACTGCTGATGAGTCACATACTAGAACAAAACAGCCGTCCAATCCTTCCATGCTTCAATGAAACTCAACAATCTCCACAACCTTACAATGAATGTTTAAATTTTATTATATTGTATGATTCTACTGAATCTTTTCTACCTTTACTCTACTAGTTCACTGCACTGTCACAACCCTCTACAGACAACAGCACGACTTCGCCCTCAGACCTTGGGTAGCTGCTTTTGGTCTCATCTTTCTCCAATCGACCTGCCTGCCACGGTAGAATCTTCAGGAACATATGTTCCAGCCAGTATGGCTCGGCTGGGTCATGACGATAGGCAAACCCGACCACCACGTCAAGGTAGCAGCTACGGTCGAGACCCTGGAGCACTAATAGTTTGAAATAAGGGTCTTTCATTTCCCTAGATGGATCTTCCATACCCAATAACCCTGTTTATTCCTTGGCCGAGCACGCGCTTTTGGTCCTCTCAATTTGGTGAATGAGTATGAATTCCCAGGTAGTAGTTAAATACGCATGACCATGTGAGAGTATTTCGAGAAATAGAGGGCGAACTTTTCCCACTCTCAGCTACACCAAGGCTATAAAAACCAATCGATATCAGTTCTAAAATAAAGGTGCTCTGTAGCCATATACAACTCCATTCAAGAATACAAAAGGCGCAATCCGATTAGTTCATTCATAAAATGCAATGCCACCAAGTTACGGGTTAGTGCCAGAATGAAAGATTCATGGTTAGAATTCGGGAATACTGTCGACTTGCCTGTTATTAGTCAAACCACGCGACATTAAGCTATTGTTAGGATATTGATCCAATATCCTAACACAGATATTGGTCAATTCCTATTGGTTCATTCCTACTCGTCAATTTTATGGTCGTCCTAGATATCAATGTCACAAGCTCCAATGTTGTTCCTTATTGGTTGCCCTGACTATTAATGTCACTTCAAATGTTGCTTCCTATTGGTCATCCTAACTGTCACTGTCACAGAATTCGATGCTGTTTCCTATTCGACCGAAATGTATAAATACGCATTATCTGTAACGTTTTATGACCACGACCAGTACCCGGTCCCGAGTCCCCACTCCGGGACCCTGATTCTCTTCTGGACTCGAACCTAGTACTTTCTGGACGGTTGTAGAATACAGGTTCTACTTCACATTCTAGTCTTCTTATTTTTACTCAATATGGAGGGTTGAGATAATCGGATTAGAGTAGCATGTCGTGTCACCGGATCCTCGATCCTCGCTCTCGCGTTTCCGACTAGGTAAACTCGTCATAATTCAAGTATATCAAGTTGACGTGTTGACGTACAAGGCGTAACAGCTATGCATGAATAACATAAGTATACTTTCAATAAAGTCTGGATTACAATTGTTTAAGCTTTATCGAACAATATCGATTCACCTCAAACAGAACAGTACTAAGTTCGAGTCTCATAACGAAAATAATAGTAACAACAACAACGGAATGTAAGCATATTTAACTAATACGTTCCAAAAGTAGGAAAGAATGTTATAACTTGCAATAGCTATTTTCAACTAAATGTATGAACAACCACGCAGGCGATCGATGAGGTGAGTTTTGTTTTGTCATTACTTGGTAAACAACGACAACATCACGTCAAAGAAAGCAATCACACAGAGATAAATGTACGCACACACACACACACACACACACATAGGAAAAAAATGTTTACAACTTACAGAATTAGCTAATGTGTCCATAGCAGGCAATAAAACACAAGTGGATACAATTTCTATTAAAAAACTAGACAATGATCTGAAAATTTTTAAAAAAATAGTAATACTTTATGATTAGAAAAAATAACCATTAAAAAAAACTGTTGAATTTATCACATACAAACACAGACATACATACACAAAGTTCAACATATTGACAACATCAATAGTATGCATAGTTAGTGATTGGTTGACAGACAGATAGACAGATACAACGCAGAACTTCGTACGTAAGTACATCAGTTCAGGTTTCCCGATACCACATCAACACAGAGACGCAACTGTCAGTTCTCAAATCCAAGAGTGATAGTGATAGTAGAAGTATTAGCAGTAATCGAAGAAGATTAGGGTTCGAAGATATGATTCGAGAAGTATAATTCAGTGAGATAATTTAAGTAAAATACAGAGACGATGAGGAATTCAGAAGGTTAGGATTTGAGAGAACACAAAGAGTGGATGAACTTGCGCCATTGCAAACTATTTTGATCCAAGTCATTTAATGTATCTGACCATCGGTGACTTTCCTCTCGCGGAACCCAACAAGGTAGCCTACATCTATCAACATGACTCAGTCCACTTGTCAGTGATTTCATGGATTTCTGCCATGTTTTGGTTTGGCCAACCCTACCTTTCTTCCAACCTATTTTTTGACCACAAAACATTGCTCGTCGAGGCAGTCAGTGGTTGCGCATTCGTAACACATGTCCCAACCACCTCAACTGATGGAGTTTCACCACTTCATCTACTGAGCTACCATTCTTACCTAACACACGTTTCCTAATAACAGTATTGCTTACAGCGTTGTCCCAGGATATACGAGCAATGCTTCGGAGATACCTATGATCAAAGACAAGCAATCTACGAATTTCCTCTACTCTCCCCGGTCATGTTTCGCATCCGTACATTAGGACAGAGCGAACTGCTGCGCAGTATACTCGTCCTTTCATTAGCAAACGGATATCTCGCCTACACCATAAGTGACGCAAGTTGGCAAAAGCCAATCGAGCCTTCGGTATCCGAGCTGAGATTTCGTCAATCACCAGGCCATCAGCACTGATGAGACTCCCAAGATAAGTGAAACGGTCTACACGTTCGACTACTTCACTCCCTATCACTAGTTCAGGTGAAGATGCAACCCAATCTTGAATCAACGTTTTGCATTTCGAGAGGGAAAACCGCATCCCGAACATGCTTGCATTGTTGCTTTAGGGTAGTTGCATTTATCGACATTGAGACTAAGCGAAAAAAAATTGGAGGTGGCTAGTTTAATACATGGTGCTGCAGTACAGAAGATAGCTAGCTATATAGGGGGCTACTATCGGTCGATTCATCAAGACTCCTAAGTTGGGATCTTACAGATTATGTAACTCCATAGTTTGACACATTTTCAGGTATACCTCAGAAAAGAAGAGTGTCAATGTTGCTACAACTTTCCATTAATATCTTTACATAGGTGAGATGAAATCCATTAGCTGAATGAGTTATAAACAATGAACAAACTGGTTCAGATATGCATCGGTCAGAACTAACCCTCCATTTTATTATATTAACGTAACAAGAAAGATAAAGGTTAACTCAGACTACTAGTCTCACACGGTAGGAGATTTAGTTACGTTAGTTTACATAAACATCGATAAATTATGAGGATATTTTAAGCAAACTCTTGAAGAAAATAAATGAATAATCACCGTTCATTCTTGTAATAAAAGCTTTATGAGAAATGACTAGTACCTCACCTCACTACTAAGCTTATTTTTGTTCAGTGTCAATTTATCAATGAACAAAATCAATAAACAACCATTTCAGTCGTTTCTTTATGATGATTTTACTTGAAATTTACATTGTTTGGCAGGAAATGTGTTACGTATGCCTAACCACCGACTGCCTCGACGAGCTATGTTTTGCAGTGTAGGAGTAGATTGGAAGAAAGCTAGGGGCGGCCAAACCAAAATGTGGCAGAAATGCATGAAGACATTGACAAGTGGACTTAGCCATGTTGGTAGTTGTCGACTACCTGGTTGGGGTCCGCGAGACGAAAGACACCAATGGTTAGAGATCTTGAATGACATGGCTCAGAATCGTTTGCAATGGCGCAGGTGCATTTACTCTTTGTGTTCTATGAAATTCTAAGCTTCTGCATTCCTCATAATCTCTATCTTTCTCCTTCTAAATTTATCTTACTGAATTACACTTCTCGAATCATATCTTTGCTCCCTAATCTTCTCCATTACTGCTAATACTTCTATTATTGCTATCACTCTTGGATTTGAACTGACAGTTGCGTCTCTGTGCAGATGAGGTATGGAAACCTGAACTGATGTACTTACATACGAAGTTCTGCGTTGTATCTGTCTGTCTGTCTGTCTCTGTTTTGCTAGAAATTCTCAAAATTAACAGTATGAGGTGAAATGAACAACAAAAAACATTGCATAACTTACGGATTACAACCAAGTTCCATAAATTTCTGTATAAATAATGCACCAGTTGATGCACTCCGTGATACAACAGGTGAATTATGTCCACGCTCTGAACTACCACCGTATGTATGTCCTGGAGAATTGTATACATGTCGATTACGTCGTAGACGATGACTGCAATCAACAGAAGGTTCTTTTGATTTATGCATTTCTGATGTAGAAAGACTAGGTGGCATACCGACAATTGGTAATAGACGATTGACCAATGCACGTAAATACATTACTTCAGCTTGTCTTGAATACAACGCTGCATGTAATCGATCACCGAAAGCACATAGAATAGCTTCTTCGGAACAAGATGTTAATGAACTTTAAAATTATAAAGATTAAGAAATAATTGAAGACCAAGTACCTTTTATGTAAATGATTTTCATTTAATGTAGTTTGGCTTTCTTTGTCACCAACACCGGTACTATTTAACTTATCTATAGAGAAAATAAACAAGGATAAATAAGCATTTAACGGTGTGCGTTGTTGTAACGTGGGAAAATATGATACAATAGGTCATTTCACGACACGATCCATATACGGACATAACTTATTACACAATACCAGGAAAAACCTAATTTAATGAATGGAGTTGTCAATGAGGAGTCGAACTATTCGGTTTTTATGAAAAAGTCTATAACGTATCTGACTTACAACTCAAACGTAAGAAGATAGTTTAGCAAGTAATAGTTTCATGATTTAATATTACAGTCTTCAAGATTGATTCCCTAAGTATATATCTACCATTAGTTGCTTACAAAACTGAGACACCAAAAACATGAACAGACAAGTTTTACGGAGTTCAAAACACAATAAAAACAACACTAAACGTGTCATCAATGTTCATTAGGAATCAGTCAGTTGCAACATAAGAACTTCGTACGTATATACATAAGTTCATGTTGCCATACCACAATATTAGCACAGAGACGCAAACGTCAAATCAAATCATCCCATAGTGATAAAGATAGTAGAGGTATTAATGGTAATGAAGAAGACTAGGGTGGTTTGAAGATATTATTCAAGAAGTATAATTCAGTGAGATAAGGTTAGAAAGACAAAGGTAGAGGTGCTGACGACTCCAGAAGATTAGCATTTGAGAGAGCTCAGCGAATGGATGCACTTGCGCCATTGTAAACGATTTTGAGTCATGTCGTTCAAGTTCTCTGTTCATTAGGAATAAATTCATTTTATCATTTAACAGTTTAATAAACAATCGTTGAGGTAGATGAGATATATATTTTCTTATCAAATCACTTGCCTGAATTTATATGGTATGGGAAATATTGCTAATAATTTGAAAAGAATGCATAAATTTATCTGCATAATAATTAAAAGTGATGATAGCTTTTAGTTTTATTACGTTCTTTTGTATTCTTCAACCCCTCTAGTTTTGGATTTCTAAACTTTTCTCACTGAATCATATTTCTTGAATATCTTCTCATCCTAACCTCTGCGATTACTTCTAATACCTTTATTACCTCTTCTACTTTCGGATTTGAATTGACAATTATTATCTCTGTGCTAATGTGGTATATGGCAACATGAACTGATGTACTTACGTACGAAGTTCTGCGTTGCATCTGACTGAGTTTTATTACGTAAGATCCTAGATATTTACAGTTTACAATGGATGTTATTGAAAGATCATTGGTAATGTATATCTCATAAGGAGGAATTTTACTACTTATCAATAAAGAAACAACGATTTTCATATTTCTTAGTTCAAACGACATTAGCCGATGTTGAGCGCATTTTATATGATATTACAACTTACTCTCATGCTTAAAGCAACAAATGTGATATATATATATATATATATATATATATATATATATATATATATATACATATATATATATATATATATATATATATTGTACTATCTAGCTGATTTGATAATGATTTTTTTAACAGATAATCAAACTACGGGGTGAAATTTAAATCTACTCACTCTCAAGAAAGAAATATAGTAAAGCGACGATCTGAGTCGTACTAATACGTCGTAATCAAAAGTGGATAGAACTTGAGAAATAACTGACTCGCTGAAAAATGTCCTACATAAGTACTGAAACTACTTACAATGATTTGCTGAATGAAGGTATTGAATAAGACTGATATATTGGTAGCATAGTTGACAAAATGTATTTGAAATAAACCTGTTAAAACTATGGGTTGAATTCTAATCGATAATAGTGAAACATGTAATGTGCATCTAATAACCTTAAGACATTGAAATGATAACAAAACATCATTTTACCATTGGATACGAGTACCATGACAGTTGACAATCATGTAAAAAAAAACATTAAAGCGCACTTGAAATGATGAAAGTGTTTAACTAACTCTTTACTCTGAATACAACAGAAAATTTAAACAAAGGCGACCAGTTTATTGACGAAGAAACATTTCATTTTTAATTATAAATTTATGAAAAATTCATGGTCTACGTTGAAATCATGAATCGATCATAAGGAGCTGTGACCAGCAGAGTTCAACCCTATTGGGCGTAGGCAGTAACTACAATGGGTGAGGTTACGTAAAATCTTTAGATTGATCAAAGTTAGACATTAACACCATTGGATGCATGCACAGTGGTCTGTAGGTAAAGCGTTTGTACGATAAACCCAAGGTGCTGGTTTCGATTCTAGCGAACGAGGGTCGCGGATGCGCACTGCTAGAGAGTCCCATACTAGGAGGAAACAGCCGCCCAGTGCTTCCAGTTTTCTAATGGTGCTCTAACAATGATCGATCCCCAATCTCAAAATTACTTTTGATTTTAAATACAACATTATATTGGATATACATACACTGATGTGATTTTATAATAACAGATATAAGCGTGTATATTAAAGATTTATATCAATTTGAGAAGCCAACACCGGTTAAATATTATTAGTGTACAAGCTCAAAAAACTACCAACGCTTACCTGAACAGGTAAGTGATAAAATATGTACAATATGGTCGAAGAAATGTGGTATAAACCGGTTTACAATAAAATCCGAAATATCAATCTACAGAATAAAAATTTTTCTCATTAAAGGAAACATACACGTTTGATTCGTTGAACAATTACAGCACAAGCATATTGTAAAAACATTTTCAACTGTATCATAAAATCTTGGTTAGAAGTGAACGGCCTAAAGATTTGCAATATTAGCTTATCATACTTACCTGTACCAGAATTCAATGTACTCTTTTATTAATAAGTCGAATATCTAATCAATGAGAGCAATAAATTAGAATTACCGATTGTAAAGCTGCATTAGATCTACTCCCAATTGTGATTTTTGTGTGATCAAAGTAAGCATCTGTTGACCTATGAAAAAAATTATATAAGATATGTGTGACTCACTCATTTGCATGCTTTCGTGGCCTTAAATACTCCTTGCTGAAGACAGGCGTTTTTACTGTAGGCTGAATTATTCTATTTACCGTATATTTGCTAAGCAAGTACATAAGGTCGTTTCAAATCGTTTTTACCTCAATATCATGCAGAAAATGTAGCCCATAAGCGTGAATGACAACGTAATGCAAATAAACAGTATCATAACTTAGAGTACTCGGGAACCCAGGACACTAAAACATATCTTAATCAAACAAGGAATTTCACTTTACTTTGAGACGCTCACTTTCATAAAAATAAATATACTAGAAATAGATTTCTAAAGTATCTGTACTTTGATTTAGTGATAATCCTTATAACTCCGTGGATAAACAAAGCGGAGGGACTGTTATGGTGAAGTCCGAAAGCTAATAATGTTTGTAACATATATATCCATTATGAGCAGGTAAAATACTCCATAATAAACGGTGAATAGAGAGTACATCCCATTCTCATTTCAAACTGTCATCATATCATATACCCCAAAGTAACGCACATAGTCCAATTTGCCACCACCTACAATATCCAATATCTATAACACGAACTTGTATAAACTATTTGATTTCTTTGCATTGTTTCGACGGTACATTTTCAGGTTTTTAGTACTGTGCAATGGGTGGCAGTCCAGCCACTAGACTGCAGTAAGTCTGGTCAGTTGGCAGTTATTAGTTTGCATGTCACGTGATTGGAGTGTATCTGTATGGTGGCAATACGGTTTCTGAATAACAGCAGCTACCACGTCACCAAGCCGGAGATCAATCACTTTCAGTGTGTGAAACAATAAGGATAAAATTTTAATGGTACTAAAAATTCCGGAAGAAAATAATGGATATGTTAATTTATTGGTCATGGAGATTATGAGAGACATGAGTTAGGCTCAGATGGTCCACGGGGGAGCTGATAAGCCCTGAGTAGGTATTCAACACTAATAATAATAATAATAATTTATTCTCAAATAACAAACATGTAACAGGAGACATGCCAATTTACAGGCAAGATCAAAATGTTAAGATTAGCAACATATTTCTTTTAAAACGGTATACAGTTACTGAAATATTTCACGAGATTCATTAGATTCCTAAACATGGAATGTACAATGCAAATAATTGGCGCAAGTTACGAAGGTTGCGTTACGACAATCATCTTAAGGATTAAGAAGCGATTCATGGTAGAGATAGGTTATCATATAACAAGAATTGATGCGGTAAATATACAAAGGTCTGGTTGATATTCATCAGCTAATGATTTCACATGTTCTTGAGTAGGGTAACCAAGTCTACTGCAAATATCCAGACTAATATGAGGATTGGAATAAGTTCTGAAAAAAAGAAATAAAGAAAACGGGACGAGGAGCGGACAGAAAATATTCTGTTCAAGCCGAAACGGCTTCGCACATACGTTTATGGATAAAACACAAAGGTATATTTTACTCAGAATTTTTTTAGTATCAGAAGACCAACT